GTAAGCCACTCGTTGTGACGTAAGCAAGGACAAAAATCTGATTGGTCATGCGCATGAGCATACCCTTGTCTTTTTATCATGGATTGGTACATATTCTTATGCATTACCTGTTATGCGTTATGCAAGAGTCTGTGCTCCCCGCTTAATTAGTCGTGCCGTTAATTGTGCACGGACTACGAGCGTTAATGTAGAAAACTGGTCATTTATCAATTTGTGAAAATTTCCGAGGGAAAGAATCGAAGTTCTGATGGTACGTTTCCACTGAGCGCGTCACGCTTCGCGTCATCCTTTTGCTGGATTCACCCTGCATCCGATTTTCGTCGTACGACGCTTTGCAACCAATCAGAAAACAGGATTCCGATGATACGAAGCAAAATCCATCGGAATCCTGTTTTCTGATTGGTTGCAAAGCGTCGTACGACGAAAATCGGATGCAGGATGAATCCAGCCTTTCTCTCTTTCGCGTCGCGTCGTGACGCGCTCGGTAGAAATGTACCTTTAGGTACAAATTTTCTATTGAATAATAATAGGCCTTCTATAATAAGCCGCAAGTCAGAACGTCAGAAGTCTCAACCAGTCTTAAGCCTTGTGTCCACGATGCTTGAAGTCGGTCCGAGATCTCGGATGAAGAAAGCATTGACCAATCGCAATGGTCATGTGATCAAATTGTTCAAATGTGATTTGTTAATTTTTTCTCTGTCCGAGATCTCGGACCGATTTCTAGCATCGTGGACACAAAGCTTTAACCAAGTCATTCAAGTTGGCTATTGGTCGCAGCCCTTCTACAATAAGCCGCAAGTCAGAAGTTCTAAGCTATTTTAAGTCATAATCGGTGAAGTTGGCCAATAGCCAACTTGAACAATTTGGTTAAGACAGGTTAAGACTTCTGATGTTCTGACTTGCGGCTTATTGTAGAGGGCCTATAATATACATATAGCAATACTTCTTTCATTTTGTTTCCTACTCTGGCCGCAACATTATTGAGGGTGTTAGCTCACAGTGAATTTTCCACCGACGGCTAATCTCACATAAGAATGTTCATAGTAGAATCAGATTTTACTATGAGGATGTCGATCTTTAATAGTATCTCATCAGTGGCTATGCTTAACCGGCTTAAATGCTTTTTAAGTAGAATCAATCGTTGGAGATACAAGAACACACGATTTATACAATAATGTCTGTTATTTGCGTTTAATTCCCTACATACCATTCAATTTACATATATTAAGTACTATTTTCATAGATTCTTATGGTTTACATTACAACATGTTTGCTTTGGTAAAATTTGAAGACAGCACATATTATGTATGCCAGTCGTCTAATGTTACTGTAAATAAAGGCATTTACGAAGTGAAATACAGTAACAATTGTGAGTACTCAGCGGTCATTATAGCGAAAAATGGTAAGTTAAAATTTTTATTTCTATCTTGGTCTGTTTTCTGTTCCTGCACTAGACTGTCCTAGAACTCTCTTTCTCGCTTTAAACAAATATCAAACGTATATCTATCTCACTTTAGTTTAGCTACCGCAGCTCAAAAATCAATAAAATTGGCTTATTCGAAGTTTTTGTATGAAACAAAAGAATCTGGTAGAAAAGAAGTGTCTGTCTCATGAACTGAGATGTTAATCGTTACAGTTTACGTTTGTTCAAGTTAGGAAATTTATCGATAGCATAGAGGAACATGAGAACACATAAATGCAGAAGCTAGAATGAGCTAGAATAAGTATCTTCTGCTTTAACAGATTTTCTGCTTTAAAACACAAATTATTTTTGATGATTGTTGAGTTTAGAGGCCTCACTTTCGATCTTAATCAAATTAGTTTCATTCAACGCATTTTTGCATAAAATGAACGAATCTGGCAAAAAAAGTATCGCTCTGTCCCACGAACTGAGATATTGGCCGCAGCACAGACTCTTGAGCGTGGTCTACAATGGCTGTGTTCAGCAGAGAAAACAGCTTTGCAACTGTTGTAAAATTCTTCAATATGATTGGTTTATACAGTTAGATCCAATGAGGAACTAAGGGCAAGACCAATCATATTGAAGAATTTTACAACAGTTGCAAAGCTGTTTTCTCTGCTGAATGCTGCTGAATGCAGCCAATAATTAATAAAGTTGACAAATATTCAAGTTAGGAAATCTGTCACATCAATGGCATTGAAGGTTACACAAATTCTCTGCTTTGTAAACACAAGTTCTTTGCTTGAAAAACAAATTCTTTGCTTTAAAACATAAATTCTTTGCTTTAAAACAAAAATTCGCTGTTTTACAAACATAAGTTGACTGTTTTAAAAACACAAATTCATTGCTTTATCTTTCTCCAAAGGGAGATAGGGTAAACCTCCCTTTGCGTGGAAAGTCGTAAAATAGTACTTAATATTATGTATGTATAGCAGAAATGTGATATTATTTTTCGAACTTTTTGTATTAATAATTTTTTAACAGATGAGTGACAGCTAAACCTGTCAAAGGTTACTCGTTACTTAAGGTCATGACCTTGACAACATGTCAAGGTCAAGGTGATGGAGAGGAATTTCCCTATTCAATATGTTAACCAAAATATATTGCATTATATATAAATAGAATATATTGTATCTGTTCTAGATAATAAAAAGGTATTACAAGAGATATTAAAAAATGTAGAAAAATGCAAACCATACATAAAGTGTGAAAGATTGAAAGTAGAAGAAAATGACCCAAAAAATAAAATACACACCAAGATTACACACAAGCAAGGCTACAATTACAAAATAAATGCAATGAGAACCATAAATGAAATAAATGAAGATAATCAGTTTTCTGTAAAGGAGGAAGATTCCGATTACCAAGAAAACATTGATATTCCCCAATTCTGTGATAAGCCCATTCATAATTATGGTAATTATAAAATATGGTTTTATTGTAATGATTAAAATAAAAGTTGATAATTATTTGGATTGACGGACACTGCGTCAATGACCTTGACCTTGACATATGTTATCAAGGTCACGACTCTGAGTGACCTTCAAAAGATTTCAGGTGGCGGTCACTGTTCGTTCAAAAGTTATTGATAAATAAAGTTTAAAAAATAACGTCTTAGTTCTGCCATATACAATATTGAAAACTACTTTATTTCTCTTTGCATGGAAAGTTGTATGCCCGTCAATATATAGCAGAAATAAGATATTTTTTTAAACTTTATTCATTAATAATTTTTGAACAAACAGTGACTGCCACTTAAAACCTTTTGAAGGACATTCAGGATCATGATCTTGACAACATATGTCAAGGTCAAGGTCATCGGCGTCCGTCAATAATTATCTAAAATTAAATTTTTATTTTCACACTAGATATTAGAGCAGGAGACATAAAACATGCATATGGAAACTATGAGGTTAATATAAATCAGCAAAACCATTACCAAGATAATACTGATTCTTTATTTTATGGTAAGTATTTTTTTTAATCTACTTTCATATACTAGTAATTTGAAATATACTTTCATTATAATTTCTTTAACCCTTTAAGAGGATGCTGGAGTGACATAATTTGTAGATCGATATAAATTTTCCTTTTTAAACTTTTTAATTTTAATTTCTTGAACTCAGTATTTGTGCACGTAAAACGCTGGGTGCTGAACTCATTTTGTTCATACGAGCTATAAAAATTTCGTATTAAGGGAACATTTACGTTAGATGATAACTCTGCGAATTGAAAAAAAATGTAAGTTTTATTTCGATTTTAGTATAAAGTCCGCTGTAGCACCTTCCAATTTTGCGTCTACTTTAATCTTGTAAAAAGATCTTTGATATTGTTCAGTAAATTCAGATTTAATATCAATCTGTAATGTCCCGACAGAAGGTCTGTTCTTTTTATTTAAAGTTCTTGCATGATTAATCTTTTTCTTCCTTTTCTCCACATTAGAGAGATAAAGAAAAAAGATAAACCGAGCAAGAGAAAACAGGCCTAATTTGGTCATTCCAGCATCCCTTTAACGCTCATAAACGAGTCACACTTGGGTGCGAGGTAACTGACAAATTTGCTCACACCCGAATGTGACTCGGGCGACTTCAAAATTTGTGCTACTAAAGTACACGTGAACGTGAAATCGAGCTTAAATACTCGTTTTGAAATAAAGAATTATTTATTAAGAAAATTAATTATTTGTAGAAATATTAATTATCTTCAATAAAAAAAAAAAAATTTTTTTGGACCGAAAAAAATGAGCGTTAAGAGGTTAAAATCATGATTTTATTCGTCTATTTTTAGATCTCATAGATATTAAGGATATTCCAATCATTAAGAAGGAACATGAGAACGTTAATAATGTTACGAAAGAAATTGAAGACGATAATGATATTGTAGATGAATTAAACAATTACCAAAAAACTACCGATGTTACCATTTCTTGTGGCAAGTATAATTATAATTTCTTTACATTTAAATGACTGTGTGTTTACCTAAATATTTTATTAAATATTATTTCATATACTACAAGTAAGAATTTGTATCGATACTTACTATCTATGATTTTTTATGCTTGCTCATTTTTAGGAAATAAAGTAGATACACTGTATAATGATAATTTATTGTTCAATACTGCGAATAAATGCACATATAATATGAATAAAGATGATAATCAAGGAATTGCTAACATACAAGTAAAAAAAATAATATCTAGTAAGTATAATAATTGTTACGTATTATCAGCAAGTATATGATGTTAAATATATTATATAATTTGTTTTTCTATTACTACATGTATGAATTATGCATCGTTATAGTTATTAGACAGTTAATTAGATTCAAAATGTTTTATCCTGTTTTTTAATGTTTTATCTATTTGTAGGTATACCTAACAATTTTGAGTTAAAAAATGCGAGAATCTGTCTTAAGAGATTAAATTCTACTGGTACGTAGACATCTGAAAAGTAAAATTTATAAATTGCAAACAAAGAAAAAATATTTGAAAACATTTTATTACTGTCAAAGTATTAATTATATCTGTAATTATATGTATACAAAATACTGACACTATTAAAATTAAAATATTCGTTACACTTATATGAAAATATTATGTAAATTATTTTATAATTTATGTCTATCTATGTTTCATGACAGTTATGAATGGTGACAAAGAAATCATTGAGGACTCCGAATATTTATCTTCGAGAAACGAACGAGGTTCATCAGATAATGAACCATTTCCAAAAAAGCACAAAGTAAATGTAACTATCACTAGATTATCCACTTCAGTTCCTGATACGTTGCAAACCAATTCGTCTGGATGTAATGATGAAAATATGTATGTTGACAAGTCGAATGTTAAATCTAAACAAAACTGCTGTATTTTTTGTATGAAGTCACAATCAAAACTTGTGCGACATTTAGAAAAAATACATGCGGATGAACCAGAAGTAAAGAAATTTGCTATTTTACCCAAAAGAAGTCTAAAAAGAAAGAAAATAATAGATACTATGAGAAAAAATGGTAATTTCAAATACAATTTAAATGCAACAGTTAATAAAGGGCAACTTATTGTATGCAGACGTCCTAATAAAAAATCCAATAAAACCGCTACAGATTTTGTTGCTTGCATGAAATGCAAAGGATTTTTTGCCAAAAGTTCAATACGTCATCATGCTCGAGAATGTTTTAAGCAAAATTTTAGCAGATTTAAAGGAATCATGGTTATGGGAAGAAAAATTACCTGTAGGATACACAAATTAGCGAATGATACATTAAGAAACATAGTTTTCCCTGTATTACGAGATGACGAAGTAACACGAGCAATAAGATATGATGAATTAATAATCTTGTATGCAAATAAATTATGTGTTAAGTATAGGGCGCAACATCAGCATGATGTAATACGTTCCAGATTGCGACTTCTTGGCCGTTTACTCTTAACATTAAGAAAAATAAATAACGACATAGATGACTTTAAGTCGCTTTATTATCCCAAATTCTATGATAATTGTGTGTCTGCCATAAATGTTGTTGCAAGATATAACGATAATGAAAAAATATATGAAACTCCAACAGTAGCGATTAACTTGTCAATTCTTATAAAAGACGTAGGAAATCTCTTAATCACAGAATGTATAAAACAAGAAGACACAGAAAAGAAAAAATTAATTAAGGATTTTCTAAAATTATTAACTGTTGATGGAAGAACAAGCATAAATACAACTATTGCAGAAACACAATTAATTCACAACAATAAAAGACACACAAAGATACAACTCCCATCATTGGAAGATATTAAGACTTTATATAAACATTTGAAGAACAAGAGAGTCGAAACTTATATTGCATTAAAACAATCTTTCTCCATTAACAATTGGCTTTCTTTAGCAGAAGCAACATTAATTACCGTGCATATAATTAACAAACGGCAGGTAAATGAAATTGAGCGAGTACTTATCGAAGATTTTCGAAATTATAAAAAGCTAAATAAAAATATGTATAGTAATATTTATACATCATTATCAACGCAAAATAGAAAAATAGCGGAAAGATACATTCGCTTTTATGTTAGAGGAAAATTAGGGCGTAGATTGCCTATTTTATTGTCACATGATCTTTTTGAGTGTATTAATTTAATATTAAAATTTCGAGAAGAAGCAAAAGTATCAAAGAAAAATCCATATGTCTTCGGATTGCCTGACATCATGAAATGCAGGTATAAGTATCTTAGAACCTGTGCCTTAATGCGAAAATTCGCAATAGAGTGTAATGCAGTTTATCCTAATACTTTACGTGGTACAGCATTAACAAAAAATATGTCGACGTATTGTATCCAATTGAATGTAAGTGAAATTGATGCGTCTAATCTCAATATTTTCATGGGTCACGTGGATAAAATGGATACAAAACTTAAACAATCATTGTCTATGAGAGATGTATTAAAGATTTCACAATATTTGGAAGCAGTTCAGAAAAATAATGAAAATGATAAGAAATGTATATCTTCATCAAGTAGTGAATCCGAAGAAAATGAATTTGTATCTTCATCAAGTAGTGAATCCGAAGAAAATGAATTTGTATCTTCATCAAGTAGTGAATCCGAAGAAAATGAATTTGTATCTTCATCAAGTAGTGAATCTGAAGAAAATGAATTAGAAATGGGGAATATCAATGATAGCAATAAAATGGAGAAGAAAGATTTAAGTATGCAAAAATTACAATTTAATCCTAAAATGTTACATCAGTTGCAGACTATTACAAGCTAAAAAGCAAAGATATTCGCGGAATTATTTTTCTTTACATACTCTACGTTCCTAATGTAATAAATATATAATGTAAAGTATAAGGCAACATTTTAATACTCAATTCCTCCCGTTCCATAGAAAAGAATTTTGATTGGTTGATTCCCTTCTGCACTATGCATTATGCGTTATGCAAAGTGTGGTCTACAATAAAGCGGATTACGTTCCTAATGTAATAAATATATAATGTAAAGTATAAGGCAACATTTTAATACTCAATTCCTCCCGTTCCATAGAAAAGAATTTTGATTGGTTGATTCCCTTCTGCACTATGCATTATGCGTTATGCAAAGTGTGGTCTACAATAAGTTGCAAACAGTCCGTCGCAATAATGTTTTGCAACAGCTAATTAGAAGCGTTAATAATTAGTGATGCTTCTGATTGGCTGTTGTGAAGTATTGCGACTAGTGACGGTGTGTTTGCAACTTGTACCATGCTCAAGAGTCTGTTCTGCGGCCAATAGGCTTATGGCTCCTACACACTGCCGTACGGCAAAATGAGACGCGGTAACCAATGAACACATTAGGAACTGTAAGCTTATTGGCTACCGCATCACATTTTGCCGCGCGGCAAACGTTTCCGCGTCCAGTGTGCAGAAGCCATTGCTACTTGGTAGGAACCAATCATGCTCGTTCGCTTGGCAAGCATGCCTAGTCGCTTTGCCCATTGTCTATGAGTATGACGTATGATATCAACCCAGTCTTCCGGGTATCTATGTGCCTGTGATATAAATCGTTTGTAGTGATACAATTTATTTAATATTAGACAAGGTAATTTATATAAATTAAAAGCATGTTATAACTGCAATAAAATATTTCTAAAAATATATTTGAAATTTATATTAATTCAGCATCTTGAGATGAGAATATAACATATCTAATTAATCTAACCTATCGCCGTTTTAAATATGTCATATTATAGATGTTAGTTATCATAATTCTAAAACTAATTTCATAATGAGTCGATAACTGAAAATTTTAAGCCTTAATCTAAATAGATAACTATTTTTCGCATTAACAAATTGTATGAATCGTTTAGCTCGATTAATGGGAATGAATAAAGTAGAATTTTTTTTTTTTAGTCAGGATATTCTGTACTTATCTCAGACAAAAATTACTCAAATTTGAAATTGATGAAATTTTATACTTTTATAAGTTAAAAGATGCGCTGTATCGTGTATAGAACTTAAATAATGTCAGATAATGTGATATTTGGTATTATAAGTGAATATATTTGTATTTTTGTAGTCGTTGGTAAAAACTTTCGGACATGAATTTTCCTTGAAATCAACTCTAAGAAACGAAAGACGCATATTAATAATTTAATGTATTTAATATGTTAGATATCACATGGTACTTAAAAATCAAAAAGATATATAAACTAACCTTCGTACTATTAACATTTGAGTTGTCACGTTTTGAGCAATGGGCTACATAACCTCGAAGTGAGGTCCATTCGAAATTTCGCTTTATCGTTAATATCTGAATAACGGGTTAGTGAATCGATATAAATTTTTTTTAGAAACGTTGCTCAGTATTTTATTTACTCAAGAAGTTTCAGAATATTGACAATGTTGCTGCTTTATAATTTTGTTGATATATGTGGGAATATGCTACTGCTTGGTTGAAATAAATCGCTGACATCGCTGAAAATCGCTCAAATCTATCAATTAACCCATTTTAACAATTTCAGCAATTTCAGATATAGATTTACTGATATAGGTTTCAACGTTTTTCAGCGATTTATTTCCACCAGGGATAATCCATAAGAACTCGTGCAAAATTAATGGTCTGTTTTCTGTTCCTGCACTAGACTGTTCTAGAACTCTCTTTCTCACTTTAAATAATATTAAACGTATTTCTATCTCACTTTAAGTTCCAAAAATGTACACTAGTTCAGTCACAAAAAACAGACCTTAAATTGGATATAACTCGTGAACTAGATAGAGAATCGACTTCAGGTTTTACATATATCTTTGAATAAATAGAACCAATTTATTGAAACCAATTTATTTCGAATTATTATCAATGTTAGAACGTTAGCGTCAGTACATCCTTAAGAAAATCGGTAAAATCGGTCTTAGTCATACAAGTTGGCCAAATTCATCGATTGCCCAACAAGATTTAGGACTACCAGCTACTGACTCATTGTAAAATCAGCCTAATGATAATTTTTTGATCAATTTAAATAATAATAATTTTTAATAATAATTATTTAAAATATTTATATAGATGACACTGGAAAGTTTTCCTCGAGGAGGAAAGAAACCTGAAATTAAAAGATCGGCAGATGTAAGTATATAATTTCAGTTTCTGTTTCTTTATTTCTGAATTAAATCTATTTTAATTTATACATTTTAATTTATATTTTAAGAACAAAAATTTAAAAAATGTAGTGTTTTATTTAACTTTCTGTAATATGGAATTTTAACTCTTCCATCAGCAGTAAGGGTTTTTGATAAATAGAAAAAAAATTTTTTTACTGCTCTGGATTATATAAAAATCTGAAAAAATATGGTATACCTATCAAAGTTTAAATGAGTTTTTACAATCAAAGAAATCTAATTGTATGCTACTTATATTTTGTAGATTTAAATTTACCAGAATTTACAAGCAAAATATTGACGGTGCTTTTAAAGTAGAGTTGTGCTATATATTTCAAGGTTACATTCACATAGAATATTTATGTATTAGTTATGTCAAGTTATATGAACTTTTTTCATATAGATAATATAAGCAATATAAAATACGTAAATTATTATAAATTGTTTAATATAACACAAAAAATATAATTAAGTTTTATGACTTACCATATCTGACTTTAATATTGATAAATAAAAGTATATAACCGAAATTTTAATACAGTCCAGTGAAATGATAAGGAACATAGGCTTCGATGACCCATAGATTGTTTACATAAATAATACGTAAAGCATAATTTACATAGTTTATTAGATATACATAAATTATTATATTTTAAGCATAAACATCGAATTTTAGAGACCCCATGTTGTTTGTGGAGAGTAAAAATGTTAGAATCTGTATTTTTTATTAAATTAATATCTATATATCTGGATATATATTAAAATTTTTTATATCAATATTTTACTGGCATAGTTTTACATAAAAATATTTAGCTGTACAATTATATAGATGCGATTGATAATAATACTTTGATTTTAGCCATTTGGGGAGAAGGTTAAACCCAAGAAACGTAAAACACAGACGAAAAAAGAAAATGATAACGTAATTGTAAAAGACATAAATCTTATTGCTACTACTGCAGATCGATTACCTAAAACCATGATACAAGAAGGATTGATACTCCTTGGCCGGGTTTCTGAAGTATCGGAATATGATTTAATAGTGTCTCTCCCAGGTGGATTCCTGGGAAGAGTACAAGCTACAGATCTTAGCGAATCTTACACTAATTTATTGCAAAATATAATTAATGCAAAAGTTGTTCAGTCGAATGAATTCAAACCTTTACCAGATTTGTTTAATCTTGGTGATTACATAACGTGTTACGTAAAAAGTATAAATGTTGATAAATGGTCTTGTAGTTTATCTATAGAACCACAATTAATAAATCAGAATGTTCATACTAGTTATCTTGTAAAAGATATGAAAGTGGTTTGTACCGTCAAAAGTATAGAGGATCATGGTTACATAATTGACATAGGTGTAGCGAATGTTAGAGCATTTCTTTCTACTGAAGATATTGATAAAGGAAAACAATATTGTAAGTAACTAATTTTGTATAATGAATTAGTATTACATCCATTACAACATATTTTGTTAATATCAAAAATTATATAGTTCCAGGTACTCAACTTTTGTGTGCTATCAAGGAAATAAAAACAGTAGACTGTATGTCTGTTATCAAATTGTCAACTAAAAGAAAAAAGATTGACAATGCTAACGTACACGACATAGCATCTTTAGATGTTTTAACACCAGGGACAAAATTATCGCTTTATATAACAAAGGTGCTTTCTAATGGCCTGCAAGTTAGGTTTGGGAAAAATAACGTTGGATATATAAATCGAATTTATTTAAATAATCCTTTATCTACATATGTAGATAATATGGAAGTGATTGGCACATTATTATATATATTACCAACTGTAAAATTTGCGTACTTTAGTTTGTTGACTGATACATCTGAAAAGGAAAAATTACCTGTAGGCAATATTATAAACAAGGCCAAAGTTCTGTACAGAGAATCCAGCGGGATAATCTTCAAATTATCTAAATCTGGACTACGTGGATATATTTCTTTGCGAAGAACCGATGTTCCATTTACTAAAATTCCAGTCACATTCAGAGAAGGTTCCACACATAAGTGTAGAGTACTCGCATACAACTGGATGGAACACTTTTATGTCTGTACAATGGAAGAAAAAATTTTGAAGCAAAAATATTTTTCAGCTTCTGATCTCAGTATTGGCGATATCCTTACTGTGACCATTACACATACCGAAACATCTCGTGGCTACATACATGTACAAGCAGGAAAGATTTGGGGAATTGTTCCAATGGAACACATATCCGACAGCGGTTTAAGCGCTCTGCATAAATTGAAAGTCGGAGACAATGTCGAAGCAAGAGTCTTAGATATAAATAAGATGAATCAAGTAAAATTCACGCTGAGACAGTCGCTAATAAAGAGCAAATTGCCAGTTTTACGTGATTTCGGCGAAGCTAAATGCGGATTAAGATATCATGGTACGATCAGCATAATAAATAAGAATGGTATATTAGTAAGATTTTATGGAACGATAAAAGGATGGGTCCCACGGATTTCATTAAATAGCGATACGTATGATACGAATTGGAATTTTTCAATTGGACAAACAGTTACAGTGTGCGTTGAATCAGTAGAAAAAGAGAAATGTAGAATGACATTAAGAATCGTTTCCGAAGAAGAGAAACAAACCGTTAGCTTGTCGATTGGAGATATAATTGAAGGAACAGTGTCTGAATCATCTATTAAAGGAATATACTTGAAGATACAAAAAGAAGATAATGAAAACATTGTGACAGGCTTCTTACCATCGGGTCATATGGCTCCATGCATTGAAGTGGGCAGTTTACTGGCATCAAGATCCAGTCCTGGAGATGTAATCTCAGCTTTCGTATTTGCCACAAAACCGACTATAATATTGTCACGCACTTTTACGACGCAAAAGAAATATATGAGCTTTGACTCATTAAAAGTAGGCGATTGCATTCCCTGCACAATTCGAGATAAGTCGCAAGATGGTGTAAGAGTTATCTTGCCGGTCGAAAATTACTGTAAATTCGGATTTGTACCATACAAGAACGTAAGCAATTTCGAAATATTGCATACAAATCAGATATTATTCGTTAAAATCACAGCTATCAATACGCGAGAGAAACAACTGACTCTAACAATGTCACTGAAAGATATATGGGACAGCCCATCTGAATACGAAGTCAAGATGATGGCAGCGGTGGATGTCTTGAGTTTGTACTTTAGCAAATTATCAGAGCTAGCAAAAAACACTTTTTATGAGAACAAGCCGATTTCTTCGGCAATTTTAGGTCAAAAAATTACTGGTACTGTCGAGAAGATAACTGAACACGGTCTAGTGCTTCAGTTAAGCAACCAATTGATGGGTACAGTACGCAAGGATCATTATTGCGGCAATCCTCAAGTGGGGGATAAAGTGTTTGGTACAATTCTGTGGAAAGATTGCATCAATGAATTCGTCGACGTGTCTTTGCTACCGAGAATAATAAACGGCATTAGTTCGAAACAAAAATCACTACCAGAATTACCCACTGGAATCGCACTAAAAGCAGAGATTCTAATGATTACTAAATGGTTGATACTTGTTCTCGTGAAACGTAACGGCGCAGGATATTTGGCGGCATTACCTGTCCGTCGACATGTGAACGACGTTTTTCCCGATCTAACGCCTTATAAAATTCATGCTAAGATTCGCTTGTACGTTATAATGAAGAGAGCCGAATCTAATATTATGCCGATTTGTATGCTAAAGTCTGCATTCGAAATTCCAAAGAATGTGATCGTAACAGAACTATCTTCTACTAAGAACAAACAGTTGAAGAGAAAAAAAATGTCTGAGCAACACGATGTAGATCTTGCAAATCCACCAAAGAAATCACTTAAGAAAACTCCGGAGAAAGCTTTGAAGAAAGTATCGAAGCAAGTCCCGAATAAAGAAAATAAGAAGGAAACTAAAATGGAAGTTGAACAGGAGAAAAGTAAAATAAAAGATATAGATGAAAATTCTCTCTCTGAGTCGGACGAAGATTCTGTCGATGAAAGTGAAATGAAAGCGAGTAAATTAGCGAAACGACTGCGTGTTCCGGAATTTGGATTTTCTTGGGACGACAAAGCAAAATTGGCCACTTTTCCTAATGTTGAAACGTCTAGCGATGATGAGCAAGAGTTTGAAGAAGAGCTTAAACAAAAGAAGAAGAAAAAGAAACTGAATGCCACTGAACGACGGGAACAGGAACGACAGAAAGAACGCGAGATTCGTCAGCGAGAGGAAGCTTTGGTGAGCAATCAGGCACCCAATTCGATCGATCAGTTCGACAGATTAATTTTGTCGAGCCCCGATAGCTCGTTAATGTGGCTGCAATATATGGCATATCATCTGCAAGCAACAGAGATCGACAAGGCGAGAGCGGTCGCAAGACGAGCAATCAAAATGATCAATTTCAGAGAAGAAAACGAACGTTTGAATGTATGGAACGCATGGCTGAATCTGGAATCCAGATACGGCACCGCCGAATCTTTAAATGATGTATTCCAGGAAGCTGTGAGGACAAATGACGCATATAAAGTATATATGCACATGTTGACCATACACGCGGATGCCGGTAAAAAAACCGAGCTTGAGAAATTGATAGGTACTGTGATCAGTAAGTTCAAACAAGATTCCCAAACATGGATTGACTGCGGCGCCGCGTTATTGAAAATCGGTATGAAAGAAAAATCGCGCCAAATCATGCAACGGGCATTGCAATCTTTGCCTGCATCTCAGCGTAAGTACACATACACATATATCGCTTTAGCTTTTAATCATGCGTGCGCGCATGATTAATCACACACAGAGAGGGTGCCAAAAAATAAATTTGGGGGGGAGACAGATTTTTTATAATATTTTAAGTCGGAAAGTCTAATCTGAAAATGTCGAGGCTATGGTAGTTTTTAATTGGGAACAGTTTAAAAATTATGAATGACGGGGCTAGAATTTCACGCGCTTAGGAACGGCAAAATGACGGTGAAAGTGCTGAATTTTATTATTATTAGAGGCATGAAGTTCGAGAAAACACCTTCATCCCGTCTTTCATAATTTTTAAATTATTTTCTCGACATTTTCGTATTAGACTTTTTATCTTAAAATGTTACAAAGAATTTGTCTATAAAATATTTATTACCAGTTTTGGAACACCCTGTATATACATTTTAGTATCATAATTTTGTATGATTAATAAAATTATGGAGTGTATTTGTGTGTACAGATATAAACCTGTTGGTAAGATTTGCAAATTTAGAGAATAAACTGGGAGATAAGGAACGAGCGCAAACGTTATTCGAAAACATCTTGAGTTCTTATCCAAAACGCATCGACGTGTGGTCGTGTTACGTGGATTGCTTGATAAAATCTAAGGACATCGATTTAGCCAGGTATACAAATTCTACCGTTTTATTACAAATATGTATATCGTGCAATACATTGAATATTTATCATTATGGATATATTTATTTCATGTTTAAGTTTTATGTTAGTTATTTAATAAATGTTTCGCTCATTTATAGAAAAGTGTTAGAACAGGCATGCGTCCAAACCCTTTCACCAAGGAAAATGAAAATTCTCTTCATGAAATTCGTCAATTTCGAGAAAAAATACGGTACGTCCGAGGCTGTAACTCGCGTACGACAGATGGCTGCGGATTATGTGGAAAAACATAGATAAGTAATTAAAAATAAAGTTCTTATTTTATAAATAAATTACCATACACGCGGATGCCGGTAAAAAAACCGAGCTTGAGAAATTGATAGGTACTGTGATTAGTAAGTTCAAACAAGATTCCCAAACATGGATTGACTGCGGCACCGCGTTATTGAAAATCGGTATAAATAAATGTTTTTTATGAGTATAACAAGTAGAATATTTCTTTACATTGCTATATTCATCCAGAATTTCTCTTCATTTTTCTTCTCTTCTGTTTTCTCTTATTCCTTATTGTTTTAGTTCTTTCTCTTTATTTTGTTCTCCCCAAATCTTAGAACATATATAAGGTCGGTTTTTTTTATTGTTGCACTTCCTGAACTGGTACACACAGTGCAATAAGTTGATGTGAAACAAACATTTGTTTCACTTCAACTTATATATATGTATAATATATTGCACCGGTTCAGAGTGCAGCAATAAAAAAACAGACTTATAAATGGAAGAGGAATCGGGCGTTAAATGTGAAGTCAACTTTAGCCAACATCTGTACGAGAGAAAAAATTATACATCTCAAATGTTCGCAATGCGCATGTGCCAATCAGCCGGCTTAGCTCGTTTGCCCGGGAGCTTTCAAATAAGTGACACTGTATCACATGTATAAAGATTTTATTTGTAAAATCGTAAGCCCATAAGCAAATCGGCCAATCAGTCGAGCATTTTAAAACATGAGATCGTAATTTTGATTGTGATTGGTTGATTTGCTTGAGGCCTTATGATTACAACTAAAAATTTTGTACGTGAGCTCTACGCAACAATCTTGAAGGCTCGTTTTATACACACCTATTCCTAATGATTTAAAAAGAAGAAAATTTTATGTTCTTAATTATGATCTCAAACATTCCCGCCCGCCCCGTCATCTCCGTGACGACACGTGCAGAGAAGTGACTGCGAGCGTGGATGTCAGACTCTACCTAGACTTTAACAACTAGCTACAGCAAAAGAAAAATTACGTAAATATACATATAATATGTATTAAATTATATTATACAATTGGATAAACGAAAATAAGGTAAATGAAAAGAAGTCTAGAACCACATATCACAGAGTAATAATTGTAATAAATTTTACAATTAGTCATTTATTCACGTTTCCATTAAAATATTATTATGCGGCACTTTTGGCATTCGTAATGTTTTGTGTCCTAGCTGGAAAACAGTCTATAATTGGCCAATTTCTTACGGCTTTAAAGTGGGGAGCACAGACTCTTGCATAAAAATAAATTTTCACGAGCTGCTCTAACCGGCTGTTTCACGTGATCAAAATGGATGCTTGATATTCGTCAATTTTGACCACGTGATCCTTTTTGTCGCTAAAACAACCGGTTTAAGCAGTTCGTGAAAAATTATCTTAACTCATAACACATGAAGCATAAGAAATTGAACCAGAGTTCTTTATTTCATGGAAAGGAAGGAAATAAAGGACTTTGATTGATTCATTTTCTTATGTATTACGTGTTGTGCGTTATGCAAGAGCCTGTGCTCCCCTGGTTTAAGCAGTTCGTGAAAAATTATCTTAACTCATAACACATGAAGCATAAGAAATTGAACCAATCAGAGTTCTTTATTTCATGGAAAGGAAGGAAATAAAGGACTTTGATTGGTTCATTTTCTTATGTATTACGTGTTGTGCGTTATGCAAGAGCCTGTGCTCCCCGTCTAAAGGTATATCCACACAAACTGCATAGCCGCATAAACATATGCATAAAGAAAAATATCCAATCACATTTTACGTGCAACTTTGTAAGAGAAATGCAGTTGGATAATTTTCTTCATGTATATGTTTATGCGATTATGCAAGTTGTGGGTATACCATAAGGCTTAAAGCAGAGCTCTCTTGCTGGATTCACTTGCTGCATCCAATTTGCGTCGTGCGACGCTCTGCAACCAATCAGAAAACAGGATTCCTATGATACGAAGCAAAATCCATCGTACGATGCACATCGGATGCAATGTGAATCCTGGTATAATTTATATTTATTATACATACCTTAAGTAAGTAGGGGGATCTGGGGAAATTTCAAATTCAAGTTGAAGATCTAGCAATGAGTTGGCAACACTGAGGAATATGAAATAAGATTTGAGGTTGTGTTAAATTGACTTGTCTCGAGTGTTTATGCCGGTATGAAATTATAAAAATGAATGAAAAAAATGAAAATACGATTGAAAATGACAATCGAGAGGGAGAGAAGGATTTGTGTAAGGAAGTAATTAATGGCATCGCCTGCAGAGAGGATTTATGTCAGCTTTTCGAACATAATGACCATGGCATCAATAGGATTCACTTTTCGGAGGTAAATTCTTTTACAATAGAAAGTTTCTTGAATGAATAAAATAAAAATAAAAGTATTGATAAAATACGTAATTCTATGTATATATTTGATAACTTTATATCTTCTTGAATAAACATGGGTATATTTTGCACATTAACAATTAATAACAAATAATCGTTGTACATTTGTCATTTTTTCAAATTTTTTTTATCTATAGTTTTACATGCTTTACGTGAAATATTGCTGTGAAAATATTTTGTTTTACAAATATTTTACAAATATTGTTAGAGAAGGAACAAATATAAAAGAAATGGAGAGATATAAGGCCGTAATTGCTGTATTAATTTTGATGTAAAATAGGTTTCCCAAATCTGTAAGGACAAACCATGTCAGCTTGGAGTTGATGAGGCAGGTCGTGGTCCAGTTTTAGGTCCAATGGTTTATGGGATCTCATATGCCCCATTGTCTCAGAAGCAACTGCTTGTCGATCTAGGCTGTGCCGATTCCAAGAGCCTGACTGAAAAGAAACGCGACGAGATATTTGACGATATTTGCAAGCATAAGGATAGTATCGGCTGGGCGATCGAAATAATATCGCCAAATGTTATTGCCAACAGCATGTACCGTCGCACCAAAATTTCACTAAACGAGATCTCCATGATATCGGCTACAAACTTGATCCGACAAGCAATTGAGGTAGGTGTAAACGTTGCTGAGATTTACGTGGATACCGTCGGCAAACCTGAGTCTTACCAAACGCGACTGGAAAGCATATTTCCCAGCATCAAGATAACTGTAGCAAAAAAAGCAGACGCAACTTATCCGATCGTCAGTGCAGCTAGTATATGTGCCAAGGTGTCACGAGATCACGCAATACGAACATGGCGTTTTCGCGAAGATGACGGCATCGAAACAGAATACGGCAGTGGCTATCCCAATGATCCAGTAACTAAAAATTGGTTATCTGCGAACGTGGATCAGGTGTTCGGCTTCCCACAGCTTGTTCGGTTCAGCTGGTCCACTGCCGAACAAATTCTTGAATCAAAAGCATTGACAGTAGAATGGGAGGAAACGGAGGAAACTTCCAACGAGCAGAAGATTTTAAAGTTTTTCGCAAAATCTCCAAATAAATCGTCTAACGTTCACACGAAAAAACATCCGTTCTTCACTGAACGTTGTCTATCCAACACAACGACTATCTTATGATATTTGCTTTATGCTGATTTTTTCCTTTCCATTGTAGTTATTTAATAGGATTTTAAAGACCCTTAACATAAAACTTTATAGGAATTATTAGATTATTATACAGGGTGATAAAAAATTTGGATACAGTCGAATATCTCAAAAGTAAAGCAGTTTTGAAAAAAATGTTTCAGGCAAAAATTATGGGGTTTAAAAAGAATTATTTGCTGTTCCCCTCAGTTTGATCCTTGTGGTTACTTAGATTTTAAAAAATAAAAACCTATATTTTTCATTACATATTCTTGTACCTTATCTTGAGAATGTTTCAAAGCACTATAACAAAATATTTCTTCGTTAAGTACTTTTTGAGTTATAATGAAAGTTACAGTATCGTGTTGGCATTTTATCTAAGATGTCCAACTGATGATTAAAACATTTTAAATGTTATGATCTTGACATCGTATATCGATCATTTTTACGTAAAAATGAAAATAAGAAGGAATAATCTTCAAAGGCCTTGATCTGGACATATACAAAAAAATACTTAATGAAACAATCTTTTGTTATAGTGTTTTGAAATTCTTAACAGTATTAGTTTTTATAATTAATTGGAACACATGTACAAGATATCAAGAATAAAAGTGGATTAAATGAATGTTTTCTTTTTGAATGTCATATTAAAGCAGAGAGAAATCACAAAGGCCTTTTTCCTGTAACCGCAAAGTACCTTGCGCACTATTGCCCTCTGAAAAAGTAGATGTCAATTACACAACAATATCCACGTTTTTGCGGTGCCCTGATGGAAATAAATCGCTGAAATCGCTAAAATAACTAAAACCTGTCAAATTAATAGAGATTTCAATGATTTTGGCGATTTATTTCCATCAGGGGCACCGCAAAGTCGATAATACAGAAGAAAAAAATAACTGTTATACAAAAATAATAATTTTATATAACAATTACTTTTTTCCTTTTTTCGATCCGATAGCGCAAAATCCCAAGATGGGACAAGGCCTACCTCATTAAGTTTTCGTAACAACGGACTATTTTCCGGAATTAGGTTGTTAGCCTAATATCCAATCTCCTGCCAAAAATAACAAAAAATTTTTCTTAAGATTTCAATTTCAAAATTTTTTATCGTTTTTGGCATAGACTCCACCTCACAGACACGTATTAATGCGTATATTTTAATCTTGGAAAAGGATTTTCGAATCTGTAAAAGAGGAAAAAAGTAATTGTTATAAAAAGTAATTGTTACAAAAATTACGATTTAGTCGGCAATACAGACGGCTTTATGATTCCTTTAAGACAAAGATACAATTATTTTTCTATTATAGATTTTACTCTGAAACTACTACTCTGCATACAAAAGTTGGCTCAAATCGACTCGTGTCGCGACTATTATTAAGGCGCGATCAAACTATAGAGATTGAGATTGAGATTAGATTGGAATCAAAATAAAGTTCACAAAACTTGAGGTTGATTTTCTCATTTCTTATTGGTTAAATTCCAATCCAATCTCAGTTTCAACCTCTAGTCTGATCACGCCTTATTTAGAAGATCTCTATCTCATAATAGGGAGCTTTCCTCTAATAAATATTCAATGTTACTCTCAATGTCTTTTATTACGGTTTTATTAGATCGATGTACAGTACGTTTCGGAAGAGATTTACGCAATTTACTAAAGAAAATATTTCTGCAGATTAAAGATTAACAATATCGTTTTTCTTTATAACTTGATATTATAGCATGTTACTTTGAAACATTAAATTAAAGATAAGTAGGTATATATCGTCCGACTTACGATTACATATATATATAATATATGTATATATATATATATACATCATATATACAAGAGCGTGTGTCCTTACAGCTACCATAGATAAAGAGTGTGGCAAGTTCCATTTATGAAACCTCTACACACCGTGCCACCGTGATTAATTAATAATTAAAAATGCTTGGCGTGAAAAGTTTGAAAATCTTTGGGAAACACACACTACACAATCACACATGTCGTACAATTATTCCTAGGATATTATCTCAATAACGTATGATTAATAGCGACTAGATCGTTAAGAGCTACGATATAGTGGCGAACAGACGATTTGTTTTGTTTGTGTTACACGTCGCTGTTTCTGCTTAATTGTATGTATGTATTAAATTCTCGATTCGTGTTTATTTTATTGATTTATAGGCACACGCGCGGCGTATAAGTTCAGTATCGTATGCGTTTTCTTAAATATTTGCCGTCCTCTTTCGCCCCCTCCTTTAATATTAATTATAATATTATAATATTAAAATATATAAACATAACATTATAATATTAATTAATAAATCATTGAAAAACATCATTAAAATATTTTAATATCATAAGTGTATGCAGATATCTAATTTGAAAATTTGTGAAGAATTTTTTCGTGTATAGTTAAATCGTTGATATTATATTGTCTTGAAAAACTCAGTTGCGCTTGCATTTTATCGTTCCAGACGTGGCACAGTTAATGAAAATTCAATAAAACGCGGACCCGCGCCATAGTTTGCATGGTAGATATGCGTTAGCCACACACAGATATGTATATTCAAACGAAGTGCACGCGCGTGTGTACCTGAAGAAAAATTGATTTATGTACTTTACGCATGAGTCGCTGCAAGCAATGTAAAAAGTCGCGACTCCGAATTTTCATGATAAACGATAGATCAATACATGACAGTGCATATATATGTATAATTCTTCGATGAATACAACGGAATAACGGGTCCGTCGTGCTTTTCACGCACTGTATGCGAGACATAATTTGTGTAACGTGAAAATTGAACAACCGAGTCGTCGAAAATTTTCTTGATAATTTTTTAATCATTCCTGGAAAAAAAAGTATCTATCGTCCCTCTACAACGAAAACTCCCCCTAAAGATTCGAGTCGAAAGTCTAACGTAATTCGAGAGATAGTGTCATCTGTCTACAATTATTACATGATCTCTAATTTCACTAATTGCAATTATAAAAAAATATAAACAACATGGATAATTTTGTATTACGTAATCATATCGCGTTACGAGGATGGCTTCCACAGGCCTAGGGGATGAGCACGAAGGGCGAATGGTATCTTCAATCCTTACCGCAGCATCAGTAATCCCATAATCACCAACATAACGCACGGTCCTAACGCTATACTTCCGCTTGCTGAAAAAGAAAAAGCCAGGATACATCACGTTTTCTGAGAGGGATGTTTCATAAATATTCAGGAAAAATTCGAAGTTTGAACATTTTAAAATTGAAACTTGGCTAAGCGAGTTTAGCTAAAGCGATTTATGCTTAAGGGCGTCGAAAAAAATGACTGAATTAAAAGAAAGTGACACAAATTCCGTGTCCACGAAATTAGATTCTTAATCTTTCTGTCGCTCGTGCGTTTGTGATTCAGTATGTTATAAAATTCCTTCCTTATTCCTTTGGAGAGCTGTCCTTAAGGTTAATATTACATTCATCCGTTTTTTGTCGTACGACAAGCTTTTCAAGCCTGTTGATTAGCTGCAGGACAAAGAGGTTCTCAGATTTCTCAGTCCTGCAGCCAATTAACACGCTTGAAAAATTTGTCGTACGATAAATGTAATATCAGCCTGAAGCCTGTTCTACAGTAGGATCGTAAATTGTAAGCCGTAAGAAATTAACCAATCATATAGTTGATTTTTGTCATATTTAATTATGATTGGCCAATTTCTTACGGTTTACGACTTGCGACCCTATTGTAGAACAGGCATAAAGCGGGTTTTGCGCGAAACGAGTTACGCGTTTGCGCTTTAACTTGCATGATAGAACTAAAACAGCATATCGGGGAGAAATGACGTTGAGTTGCTAAACTATCCGCGTCGGAACAAGCTTCGAGTTGGCAATGTTAAACCAAAAGGGTTGAATCTATTATTTCGGTCACTAAGCTCTTTTCATATGGCTACAGAGCTTATACTTTTTTGCAGACTTGTAATTTAATATTAAAGACTGAACTGTGAAAAACATCAGTTTTTTCAACGGCTTGAAAAATAATTCTTATCCCTTTTAAACTTGGAATAGGTAATGGCTCTTTAAGACCGAATCTTCGTTTTAATTCTTTTAATATTAATGTAAACAAAATGTCACTTGGAGAGTAATATCAAAAACACACTGTATATTTAAATAAATTTTATCTCAGAAATAGTGCGATTACTTTCATACACAGACTTGCAATATAATTAAACTAAAATAATAATATTCCCTCAAATTTTAAATTAAATCGTTGATTTGATACTACTAGCATCTTAAAACTTGTAAAGAACTTGTTGCAAAAAATATTATCTTAGCTAGTATTCGAATCTGGATCTCTCGTATATTGTACGAGTATTCTCCTAATTCATCGAAGCATGTCCAAGTACAAATTCTGATTGAGGTAAGATTTCTTGCAATAAATTTTTTGCAGCCTTTAAGATGCTAGTGACATCAAATCAACGATTTAATTTAATTTAGGGGAATTAGTATTAGTACAGTTGATTGTGTTGTAAATCCGAAAATAATTGGCGCGCATATTTCTGAGACCGTAATAGGCGCTTTTCGTTTAACTTATTGTTAGTTGATTTAGTTTATATAAACGATTCTGTTTCTTAATATTTTTAATATTGTTAGAAACATTATTTTATAAACGAATTAACATTTAATTAATATCTAAATAACATAGTAAATTTTACGTTTCATTTTATTTGTCAGCTTTGACTTACAATTTTATGTCTTTATTTCGGTATCGTGTTAAAATATCAAGAGATATTTAAATACTAATTAATTTAATAATATATTAATTTTATCAAATAATTGAGCTCCAATTTGAAGAGGGGGAAGGTTTTTCTTTTTAAATTTTGATCCATCTTTTTTTTTATAAAGAAATAATGACACGGGTAGCTAAATTAAAAGACAAAAAATCTATGTTCATACGGCGAAGCAGATATTTCACCCTTGTGACTATATGTCATTTATCCTCAGTCAAGGACTGCGGATGGGAGATTTCTCTTTTTACCTAGGATGTGCTCGGCGTGCGTGTGCCCTTGCGCCCTTGTCTCCCTACTCTCCATTACCGGTATCTTCAGAGGCCTCTCACCCTCTATGCTGAGCTCATTCGATTTCCAATATACGGTATATATTCTTGCCAGGCATTTGATCTTCAAGTCTCCCTTCTTGAAGTGCTTCAAGCGCAGACGGAACTCTAGACCGAGTGTGGAAGTCTCTAGATCGTTCCGGTCCACGTCGACGGGGTAAGACTTCAAGGACTGCTGCTCGACCTAATCGAAGTGAAGAAGAGGGACTGTATATTCTCTCTCGATCTGAACGATGATGATGATAATAACACGGATTTTCTTAGTCATAAATATTGGGTTGGAACAAAAGTTCGTAGTACTACTTCATTTGTATTATGTGTGTGTATTTACATATTTTTATTTTAATTAGACATTTATATGTTTTTATCATTCAAAAGAATGAAATTTCAGTTTCAAGAATCTATTCTTTAATTGCGGTACGCGATGATTTTTAACGGAGTATGAGCAATTAAAGTCAAAATGTTCCTTTTATTTAATCTGTGATAACTCAATCAGTAATAAAAATTCTTAAAACCATTTTTTTAAATACGATTTTATAGGTACGTAGGGAAAACTTTAAGCTTTCACGAAAGTTGAAAATTTTTTCAAGTTTTTCTTTTTAAATATGTAACAAGCTCACAAAATGAGGAAAACATTTGCCATTTTATCGAACCCATAGTTTTCCATATATATATGTAAAAAATGACTAAATTCACAGAAACTCAAAAGATATCGTGACCTCTTGAAAGTAAAGAGATGTTAAGCTTTAAAACTCTTATTTAAATTTAAATCATTTTTAACAAAGTTATGACTGCTTGAATTTTGAAGTTCGTAGCATTACGAACTTTTGTTCTAATTCAATATTTGCTAGCGCGTAATCAGCATGGTTTAAATCTTTGCGGTATATTGACGACGTGTCTTTAAAATTTTCATAACTAGTTTTCTAGAGGAATAGTGATGCTGAAGAGATCCTTTCTCAATTCTAAACACGAATTTTACTTAATGGAATAAAATCAGAGTGAATATTGATAGCAAATTGGTTGGAATCAAACTGGAATGGAACAAGATAATGTTATACTCATAATAAGCAATGATGTCAGCAAAGAATTAAGTAAAGAACAAATGATAACCTTCTAAATATGCGAGATCATTTTAAGAATCATTTTAATATGTTCTTAGACATATATCTTTTTTTTTTAAATTAAATGTAATAACATTGTCAGTACTTATCATCGTAAATTAAATACACAGCATTATCTGTCTAATCTACTTTGTTCCAGGAAAATTGACTCTCTTGACCCGCGAGCTCCCTGAGAGCACTACGTAAACTTTTAATATCGTTTAGCAGAAGATTGTTATCTTTCTCATTAAATTTTGTTACAACTTTTGTGATAAAAATTAAGAAGTACTCCAACATGTGACACTAATTCTAATCATGATAATAAAATTATTCAATGCCTTACTGTTACACACACGCACACACACATTTCTTCGCGCGCATTATAATATTTTTCATGTTTAATGCGAATTTCACATCTTTTTCTAATTTCAACGGTTAACACCATAATTTGCAAGATATCCTCTCCGAATAATATAGATAAAGATTAACCAATAAAAACATTTTGTATTTGTGTTGAAAACGATCCACTCAAGTCCTTGTTAAAATTTTGTGTTAATTTTTTAACATATATATTCGAATATTATATAATTAAACATAACGTGATTTAAGTAGATTTAAATTAATATTCAGCATTTTTTATCGTTAAAATAACACAATTTATGAGTAAATAAACAAATAAAAAATATGTTTAAAACGTAAATTCTCTACAGATGAATAAATAAAATATGTGTTAATTTAACATATCATAAATGTTAATTTTACTAAAAAAGACATGCTCCCATGGTTTGTTGTTTATCAATTGTGTTAGTATTATCTTTTTTGTTTATTTTTTAAAATAATATTTTTGTTACCTTCTAACATATTTAGCTTGTGTTGAATTAACATAAATTTTAGTGGATCGTTTGAGACACGTGAAATGTGTTAAATTTGACACCAATTTTCTAACGGTGATTCTGTAATCTAAGATTATCGATTTTAATTCCGATTAAATATAATCCCGATTTTAATAAGTCATGATATAACGTCGATGCTGAAAGACTATAATCAGGCGGTTTTGAATGCGCGCGAGCGTCCGCTCGCAACACCCGAAGATTAATTACCCAAGAACTAATTATTTGTTCGCGTATGAAAAATGAAAAAGCTTCGCACACACCATAGAATGCACTTTGTAAAATTAATTCTCGAGCTTTGTTAGCGCGTAATCGTAGGTCAACGAGACATTAACGGTCACGTTGGTGATCGTCGTTGCAGATGTGCGTTATTTTCGCGAAAGAACGAAATTCGTCATAATAGGAAACTTTTGGCAGAGAGAGAGAGAGAGAGAGAGAGAGAGAGAGAGAGAGAGAGAGAGAGAGAAATTAAGTAAAGAGTAACTGTTATGATTTTCCTTGTGATTGTAATATCCAATACGTTTTTATAGACGTAATTTCGTATCACGATGGCAGTAAAACATGTTGTATTACGAAGAAAAAGTCTTTATTAAGATAGATGTGAAAGTTTATTAACTTTGTCACTCGTAGGAACATATGACGTATATTGTAGTGTTAGAATTCGAGCCTGAAAAGTGTAAAGTTTACTTGGATTTCATTAAATTAAATATTAATTTAAAACTTGATTAATGTTCAATTAAAATTTCATTACATTATACGTATAAAATAGAATAAATAAAGAATAAAATTTTCGATCCCGTAATTAATTATTATCTCGAAAAAATTCAAAATAATATAGAGTTCTTCTTTATTCTTGAAAAATTGAAAAATAATTAGAGAATCAAATACGTAATACGTGATATAATGAAATATGTTTCTGATTAATAATAATATTAATAATAGGTACAACTATTTTAGAAAATTCGTATTTTAGATAAAGCTTATTCCTGTTACTCAACTGCATCGTATGTAAGCGTGCGCGAATCTCTAGACTATTCTAAACGGATTTTCCGGGATCATGGCGTATCTCGGATGTTAGTGACGTTGCCGCGAACCTTTTACGTTTCCGACAACATGAGAAGGCATTCACAGTTGTGGTACGCAGACAAATAGAGAAAGCAAGGGAGAAAGAGAATAAGAGAAAGAGAGAGAGAGAGGGGGGGGGGGGGGGGGAGAGATATGCTTCGTGTCTCGAGCACTCACAGGGTCGCCGTTGATGAACCAGCTGAGCGTAGCATGTGGCTTCGACCTCGTCGAAGTGCAATTGAACCGCACGACGTCGCCGACTTGATAACGATGTTTCCCGGGTCGTGCCGTGATAACGGGTTCGTCTTCCGGGAGGGCTGGAATTATGTAGATACACGTAAAACGAGCTGCTATGACAAAAAGAATGCGATGTTCTTCGATTAGACGAAACGACTGGGCTTTTAACTAATTGCCCACTCAAATATTTTTGCGCAATGCCGCTTAAACTATAATTAATTTTCTATAATTTTGTTGCGGCGAGCTTAACTTGTTTACGCTTACCAATGTGGAAATTTTAATGGAGTAACATTTTACTGTAATCATTGCACTCGATATAACGCATTTAACTTTATACACGCTTCATATGATAGATATATAAACGTGCGCTCGGGGTAATCGACGCAAAAATTGAAGCGATCGAGATCTTGTCCCTCGGTAGAGATAATAAATAATAATCGAATCGCGTCCTGGATTAAAAGGATTGGATGGAAAACCAGCTGCGGATCTTATTTAGACTTGAACGGTTAAAGCTCCACATAGTTGTGCCATAGAAATCTTTTTAATCGATATTTTTCATACGATATTATTAATGAAGTGTTTAATTTGTGAAGAATGTTGCGTAAGCGTTGGTAATATTCGAGCTAGGAATAATTGAAGATGAGAAAGCATGGGCAGATTTTACGTCAATGAATTTAACGTTCATGGAAATCGCGATAAATAATTGAGAGCGAATATCGGTTTCGAGTTTGTCATGTCTGCGACTGAAGAAAAGCGCTTCGCTTCCGCCGGTGCGCACGATGATAATAAGGTAATTAAGACTAACGAAAAGTGTTTCAAACGATAAGTCGTAGACGCATTACCGTCGGAAGAATGAATCATCAGTGATTCGTCACTGGTCGTAGGTCGATATTTTTGAGGGATAGGTAATGTTCCCTCTCACAAATCAAAACCAACGCGATGAAATTAATGAATTAACTCTTTCGGAGGTATTAGAACTGCGATTTGTTTTAATTCGCGCGTAAAGTGGCTTATGAAATCTTCAAAGCCGTTAAAATATCTAATCCTGCAGTAGAAAATCTCTCTTCTTCCTTTTTTTCTTCTTGAACGTGGAACCAAAATCCTTTCATCAAATGATACGTATAAATCTTTGTCTCGGAATTAAACCGTTCCAAGGTATATCTCACACCGTGGACTACACGACAAATGTGATAAAACTGATAAATCTCTTCTTCGCGGTTTAATTTTAATTCAAACATGAATAAGATCATGATTAATCGGCACAATTTCTTTATTTTCTTTTCGGTTGACCGTAATAACATTTGCTCGGATAATGAGAATCGGTGAAGAATAGTAGCGTCGCCTTGTGAGGCTAAATCAACGACGCAATATCCCAAAGTTTGCGAGAGGCCTGGATTGTCATTATTGCGCGATTTCTTTGAAAGATAAAACTCTTAATTAATACTAATCTGCTCGCCGTCGCTTCTTACCGATTATCGTCATATCCGAATGGTCGGAAACGGTCTGGAAAGACGGTGCCTCCGCTGAAACCTCGCATCTGTAGCGTCCCGTGCTCATGAGGTTCACGGAACGAAGGATGACCATTCGTTGAGTGGATTCGTGAACCTGAAAGACAAAAAAAAAGATGCATCCAAAAAACATTTTGCCAATAAGCGCGAAACTTCTCTTAACATTTCCTCTAAGCAAAAAATCTTACATACATCAGGCGCATGTATTTATAACATGTATTCATTTATAAAAATAAGGACACATGAGCTATGATCAAAAATAAATTCTTCTATAGAAAATTCTATTATAATAACTCGAATAGCCTTTTGAAGTAAAAGGATATACAAGATACTAGCACGTTTATTTGTTAAAAGAAGTTTGTCATTTACGTGCTACCGTAACTACGTGTTAGTACATGACATGCAGGACATTCTTCTAGCATTAAGAGAATTGCAATCTTAAATCCAGCACCTTATAATTATACGAAATTCCTCTACTTTGTTGAGTATCTTCTTAAGATCGTATATAATGGAAAGTCCTCTGACATTAACACGGAACCGCTAATCGCGGCAGAATATTTTTTTTTGGATGTAACATTGCGACATAACGGGCAATTCGTCATGCTGTGAAAACTCGCAAACTGACTCGATAAAATACATGGGCATAGAATTAAAATCTTCCTTAACGTAATCTGTTTATTCTATTGATCAAAAAAATAGAACTGAAAAAACTACCTCAAAGAATTACATAAAATTTCCATTATCTCATATATTACGAGATGCATCCCAAAAGTAAGTTTCTCTATTATAGGAAAAAAATTAGTTATGTTATGTATTCTAGAAATTTTTTTGGAGTATATGTTGACATTTTTTTCCTTTACAGTCACCTTCAATTGCAACCATAATTAGTTGAACCAATTTGAATTAAAAGATATATCAATACAAAACGTGTCCAACTGCAAACTATGTATAATAATTCAATTTTGATTGCAAGAAACGAAAGTGTTACAAATATTCATCATTAAAGAAGAAAGTCTTTTTGAAAAGTCTTTAAAAAAGCTTTTTAAAAATGTTTTCTTACTTCATGATGTGTCTCCATTCAACAAGATGAATACAGGATTTATTGGCATAGTTTGGGAATATTTTAGTCATCCACCATAGATTCTCTCTAGACCGACTGATTTTCACCTGTTTTCTGTGCTAAAAATATTTGAAAAAATGTGTGGCAGCGACGATGAAATTAAAACTGAAGTGAAATCATGACTCCAATTAAAAAACACATTTTTTCATACCACAGACATTAAAAAATTGGTGTCACGTTACAAGTGTTAAAATTTTAATGGTAACTACGTTGAGAAATAACTTAAGGACTGAGTTAAAAAAAATAAATTTTCTAATTGTCCTACCTTACTTTATTTTCCTACGATAGGGAAACTTACTTTTGGCATGCTCCTTGTACTATTAAATTGCTTTATCGACAATAGGAAGTTTTTGCAATATCATGTGTTTAGATACAGTGAACGCTAAAATCATGTTATTTAGTGGAAAGTCGCACACGCGCAGACTTTCCACTATGACGTTCACCGTATCTGGATACATGATATTGCAAAAACTACCTAATATCTTCCTATTAACTCCTTACATTACGTACAAATTCCGCGTTTATAATGTTATTTCCGAGGACCGGATTTAATGCCTAGTTTTCACGATGCTTCTCTAATCTTGGTAAATAAATGAAACAATACAATTGAGAAATATATTCATCTTTCGCCCGAAATGAACGTTCTTCCGACAACTTGTGTCGTTCCGCTGGTAGCCCAGTGAATCACTCATCATTCTCGGGCACAGAACTGGGCTTGCTCCAACGTAGTTTTCATACCGCGGGAAGATGGAAATTTTTCGTATCACTCAATGGCGTGGAAAACCGCGCGCGTGATATAGTCGGCGAGGAATTGAAATTATTGGAAATATCATTAACCTAAAAGAGGGAAACCGCGACTAGAAAGGGGTGGCGAGGAAGAGCGACCCTCTTGGGATCAATTTGTAATGCGTTATCTTTTGCGACGACGACGACGACGACGACGACGACAAGGGCGAAAGGTAATTTTAGATGTGCCGCGCAGTGTGATGAAGACGCGCTTAACGAACAACGACCCCGCATTAAATTAGTGAAGAACGCGGGGTAGAAACAGGGGAAAGGGGATAGAGAAGGAGAGAAGCCGGGTCATCGTCGTCAGCATCCCCACAATTTTCATCTCCGCGCGCTGGGAGAGCATTTCACGATTCATTATACTAATCGATGTAATTATAAACAGCGATAACAACCGGGTAGACCGATAATTTCTAAGGGCGCTCCCGAGCGCCAATCTCGCGCGGGTGATTAATGTTAATATTAAGGCTCATTATGATCAAGATCGCGTACCGGTGGTCGCCTCGTCTTTGTTTATTCGCCGCTCGGCGTGCATAATGCAACATTAATCCGATGTCTTGACGTGAATGAAAAGCTATTTTGGCCGCGCGCGCCTGAGATGAGAATATTTCGGGAAAGCTGCTCTTATACATGTAATATTTATTTATTTATTTATTTATACAGGAATGTGGAAGCTTCCTTTTGCAAACGTCGCTCACTTGACTGAGACGCATGAACGCATTTCTCTCTCTCTCTCTCTCTGAGAGAGAGTGGGAGGCAGGATGAGGGGGGAGAGGGAGAGAGAGATTTGAAAATAAAATTTCGAAAATAAGATCTACAATTTTTATTGCCAAAATCAGCATCTGTTTTTATGATTTCCATCGTGCATGGTGCAGGCACCTTTGCGCGTCGTGTTGTCAATCGCACGCTCGTATTCTCAAACTGGTTCACGTTTTGCTCTCCTATTTGTTTACCGATTGGGAAAAATATCAGAGCGAGCAGAACGCGCGATTTATTTTTAAACGACACAAATATGAAGGTGGACATGGGAACGTAGCTCAGCCGTTCGAGTCTAGATTTTGACTCCTTGTGATTGACGCGCATTTGAGAATTCGAGTCGGTACGATCAAAAGTGGATCAATCATGCCCACTTCCTGAGAAACACATCTATCGGGAATTCTAAATAGGCGCGGAATCAAAAACACCGTGTACGTACACTACGAAAGCTTTCTTTTCCGAGGCTTCAATCGTCCACGTGTTTAAGACGATTCACGACGGTCAATTGTACGTATCGGACGCGAAGCGCGAGAATTGGATAAGGATTCAACACGAGAGTGAGCCGAAGAATGTCCCGATCTTTCTATTCGAAGATTTATGCCATTCTTATGCCGGATCCTTTCAATTTTGTTCGTCGTAAAGTGCCAATGTTGAGGAATGAGGAGAATCTTCGCTTACAGAACCCATCTTAATGTGACAGAAAGATTACATTTCCGAGATAAATTTCATATAGATTAGGATTTTGATTCGGTCTTTTTATTATTAAAGTAAAAAAGTTTAACGTAAAAAATAAAGAGAGAAAGAGTGTGAAAGCAGTTAGTTATCCTTACGACTGCTGAGACACCGGGTTGGAGGAACACCAGAACAGGTGGCTTCTCCTGAGGTACGAATCGGTAGAATTCGTTGCCGTCCTTGTACCACTTGACCGAGTACAGCTTCTCGCCGTCCAGATTAAAGTTGCACTCGAGGCTTACATTTTGCCCGAGCACCGCGTGCTGCGGCACTATCAGCTCCAGCATCCTCAAACCGTTTGTTTCTGCAACACATATAGGAAGCGGATGCGAGATCAGAGGAAAGGCGCATGAGAGTATACGCTTGTGTTGAATGTTACACGAGACAACGAGTTTTCAACGAAAAGATCTTACTTAAGGAAATTAAACTAGACACGGGTAATTGGAGTAACAGTTTTCGCAGCTGTTTTTGTTGAGCTTAATTCTACTGTTGAAAACAAATATCAGTTAGAGGAATAATAACAGTTTGTAATTAAAACATCAAAAGAGAAGATATATTGTCGCATTTAGAAGTCACAGCATCCTATAATTTCCCATTTCATGCGTTAAAAAAGATCAATGTATCAATGATATTTGTTATTTAAACTTTAACAAATAAAAGGAATTTTATTGTACGTAAAAAGACAAAAAAGTAGAATTCTATAATTAGTAGATATAATTTACATCTTTCATACGTTATTTCTTTTCAAGCCTTGAATTATGTTTAAAATCAGAAATTGTATTCTAATACATTTTACATGTAAGAATAATATAGTTAAATGCATCGTCAAGCAAATGTTAAAAACATATAATGGAGCATGAGACTTTCATCCAACGAAAAAAATAAATTCAAGCGCGTGACTCTAGAAGATCGCGATCCCCTTTTGCGAGATGCGTGGACGTTCGGATGAGTCGTTCAAAGAGGGAGAGGAGATCAAAGAAGCCACGAGAGACATCGCAGCGATGAGGGTGAATAAGATGTGCGCGACGCGCGTATCTTTTCTGTGGATGCTGCAACGATTCGAATCGCCGAGAATATTCCACGAGAATAGTATGTAACCCACCGAAACCTATCGTATACAGGAAACACAGAGAGAGAGAGAGAGAGAGAGAGGGGGGGGGGGGGGAGGAATTTGCGACGAACACGTCGACGGAGCTCAAGACTAGAAGGATGATGACGATAACGTCAGGTAAACAGGTGGTTGCTGCGAATAACGAAGACGTCTACGACGTTTATAAACAAGGTATTAATTTCTTGACACGCTCTTGTTCGTGAGCAAGGCGAATTAAATGTTTATTTCGAATAATGGCACGATATCTCTCGCTTATCATCAATGACACATCAAGTATTATTAGACAAAAAATAGAACATTTTACTTGAATATAAGATATTTTGAAATAGATTTATGGGATATCGGTCAATGATATTTTTGAATGAAACTAAAAGTTGCATAAAAAATTTTCAAATATTCTTAAAAAAGATTAAAAGTTGTAATAATAGATCGAATAATTGTCAGAGAAAAGTTATTAATTAATTTCTTTTTTAAAAAATAAAAAATAGATCTTTTTTTTTATTAATAAGATTAGATTAATCAGTTCATAACTTTTATATAATTCTGATGATATATGTATAATTAATGAAGTTAAATAATGAAGTGTTATTCGCAACAATACAGAGGCTTCTGAATCGTATAGATTTCGATTTGATTCTCACCGTATAGATTTTGATAGGAGAGACGTCAATAATACGATAGCGAAGCTACTTTAAGGCACTGGCTTAAAGTTTCCAGTGCAACGGGTTAAGTGAAAATGTACTTTTGATTGCCGCCTTTACGGTGGACAGAAGATAAGTACAAGGGATAAACACATAGGAGGGAATAAGTGCGAGCATGGGCGCCGTCGGAATTTTTTCCCCAGCTTTCTTGCTTCTTCCCACGATTATTTCAATTATCTTGCTAATAGTGCACGGTAAAATTTCCTGCTTCTATAACAAAAGTTCCATGAAAATGATAATGAAGCGGTATTTCTCAACAAGACTTTTTTCATCTCGTGGCACCATGGAAAACCAAGAAGACTGTATCTCGACGCTCATGACCGCGTCGTGCAATTTCTGGAACAACAAGGGATAAGAAATAATTCCTGCGCTTCGTTACGTTCGCACATTACGAAGACGAGGAAACTAGCTTATAGCTTCCGGCAGGATGACCATATTTTCCTGCAAATAGGACAATATAGCACGGTGCAACCAAGAGACAATTTTCAGAATTGAAAACTTCTATTAAATTAAATTATGGAGGATCAAAGTTAATTTAAATGAAATTAAAAAAAATATATTTTGCATCTACATAAATGTAGACAACAATACGTAAATTACAGAATCAATTTTCTGTTTATTGTACACATTCCTTTTCAAACTCTTCTTAGAGACTTTAAGGACAGGATGTACATCTCTAGCGAAATGTAGTCGTATTATGGCAATGCGCCGCTGCGTGATATGGATAATCGTGAGAACTATTCGCGTTGCATGTTGAAACATACAGTCGAATTCTCACGCGTGTCCACGCGTATTTACCCATACAAAAGACTCATAGAATGGAGAAGTGCGTGTTACATCGAAAAAAAAATACTTTAGTTAAATCATTCTTTTTTCGGTTTCTGCCATTATAAATATATGTTCCGTTTAAAACGGAATTTTCGCGCTATAAATAAAAATTTGTTCATATTTACCATTATATACCAATTTAATAAGGAAATACCATTACGAAAATTAAATAAAATTATTTATATATACTAATAAAACTTTAATAAATATTCGTACAAAAGTTTATTTGTACGAATTCATTTAGTCGTTTAAAAATTATTTACTCCAGCAAGTTATTGTGCTATGTAAGTTATTATATAAGCCAAATTATTTGTTGTTTTATTGTTTTGCAATTGGTTTCAGAGCGTATTCGGAATAAAATGTTGTTGACTGATATCAACTAAAAATGTTAATAAAAAAACGGATACCAAATAAACATTTAATCAAAAATATACGAAATCAATTAACCAAGTATTTCGTACATTACACAAGATGGACACATAAGATGGACTGAAAGTAACTAAATTAGTCAACTGGATTATAGTGAAGAAAAAACTTAGTGTGCCCGGATCGCATTAATTGCACTTCTGTGAATATATTATTCCAATACAATATTTGCATTATTATAAAAATATAAAAATAATAAACATATTATATATAGTGACATAGTTTGCGAGATAAAAATATATTCGCAAAACATATTGGTCCTAGAATATTGCGATTTAATGCGACCCGGGCACGCCAAACGTATTTTTCTTCACTATAACTTCAGTTGACCATTTTAGTCACTTTCAGTCCATGTATCTTGCGTAATAAAATACTTGGATAATTACATTTATTTTGAATCCGTTTTTTATCAAGAGGAATATAAAATTTGATATTTTTTTTAACGTTTGGCGTATATTTTTTCTTTTCTTAAAAAGATTTTTTTAGGGTTGGCTTTTTTAGTTGATTTTTTAACTGATATTTTTATAACCAAAACATCCTTAAGATATTAGGTGTAAGAAATATACATATCTATATTGCAAATGTATAACTTGACGTATCCCAAGAACATATTTCTAAAAATGCCAATAAATAAGTAATAAAATACTAAATAAATGACATTAAATAGATATAGTCCTTGATTTTCTAATGCTTTTTCTCTTTCGCTCCAGAAATAGTTGAACCGCTAATTTGCGGCGTTAGAGTTAATGCAATTGTCTCGAATGATATTTCCGCGTTAAACGGGAATCGAATACGGCTCGCGCTAACGGCATTATCGGTTTTTCGTCAGCAGAAATCTATTCCAATCGTAAACATAATTGATTGCATTATGCTCTCTATATTCCAGAATTATCCTCGCTCTCATAGAACTTGATTTTTTGCTTTTAAGTGGCGACAGGTACATTTAATATTCTCGCAAATTCCCTAAGTATATAATTCTTCCTATTGAACGATGATTAAAGTAAAAGAAATGTTTTTATATAATTTACATCTTTACAATTTATGGAAACAGAAATAAAATTCAATATTTAAATGATATTTGATATTTATGACGAATGTCTTATGATATTTATGACAACACCAGCAAAATCCATCGGGCTTACTTATTCGCGTCGTGCTTTTTCACACGAACGCCTCGCAGCATCGCGATGCCGAGCAACTTTCTTAATAAATGTCCTCGGCGCCCGTTATTTTATTATAAAATCGCTGAGTCTGTGATACGAAGTCCCAACTTCTAATATCTCTTCACTTTAATTTAACCCTTTACGGCATAATGTTGTACAGATATAATACCTATATCATCCAAGTTTGTTTTTTCAATAAATCAATTGTTTCGCGTACTTCTTTAGCATATTTGGTATTGCTGGATTGTTGAGAGGTTCCTCTAACTAATAAATCAAATTTTATAATTATATTTTAAACAAATAGTTTGTTATTAATGAATATATACCGCGAAAAACTGTCGTTTTTAGTGAATAATTTCGTTTGTATAAAAATTTTTATCATTAACAAATACTTCAAGATCACTATTTGGAGATTTTCGAGGTCGCTGATCATGAATTTGATATCAAAAGTACAATATTCGAAATGCCATATAATATGGCGGACCTACATAGCGAACAAAATTTTCAAAATTGTTCATCATTGTTGATCATTAGAAAAAAACGTGCCCCAAGGGATTAATATAAAATAACGCGAGTGCACGTATGCTTTCTCCTTCTGTTCATACGAATTACATATATTAATGCTTGGTGTTCCTACGTGTTTCGACGTATTCGTATAATTTCGCATTGTGAAACGTCACTCTCGAAATTAAATAACAAGTGATGCCTCAGTACGATCTGGCTATATTCGTATATTAAGTAATATACCGTCACTCGTCATTCTAAATATCCTAGTTCATGAATTTATGAAGATCAGTCTATTAATCTACCGTTAATGTTTTTAATTATTAACACAGCCGTTAAATTAAATTGCAAATGTCAATTTCAATCCTTCCTTTTGGATGTCGGGTCATCATTTACAATACTTTAGCGTGTTGTTATGCAAGAATAGAGGCACAAAGAAACCTCATAGGAAATTATTCTTAAGTATGCCAATACGTGCGCAGCACAATATAGACATTTACTTTTGAATCGCGTAACTCGACAGAACGTTGAACGCTTGACTCGAGTTTCGCTTCTTTTTTGGGGGGGAGGA